GGGCGGGGGGGCCTCACAGGATGCTTTCTTGGTCCGGCGACAGCCGCTGGACACCAGCAGGGCCGGTGAGGGCTCCGTGCCTGCAGATGGACGGGTGGCCTCAGCACCCGGCCGGGCCGCTGGGGTGACTGTCCCCCCACCTATGGAGCCTGTCCAGCCCTGGGACTGCCCACGCGGCAGGGCCCACGCGGCTCACACTGGATCCTGAAGTCCGGAGGCAGCAGCCTGATGTTGGAGACGGCGATGTGGCCCGTGTCCCCGTCATCAAATTCCACCACCACGGAGTCCAGGTCCTCCTCCTCTGCGCTGGAGTTGCCTGGAGGCGGGAGGAGCAGGGGATGGGCTCCCGGGCACCTGGCCATCGACACTGGGACCATTCTGCTCCCTGAGCACGTTTGACCTCGGAGCGGCCAGGACAGCCGGCAGCCCTCAGCCTCCCGCGCGCAGCCTGAGTGGCAGTATTGCCTCCATCCATCACCCCCATGTGGGCACCTCTCCACACACGAGTGCAAATTCACGTCTGGTCCAGGCCTGCTGCGCCTGCCCACCTGCCGTCCACCTATCAGGCCCTAGGGCTCCGCGTCCCCTACCTGGGGAGTCAGGATTCACCCCAGGGGAGCTGCCCATGTGGCCAGGTCACGACCTTTGGGACCAGGACCCACTCCCATCCTCTGCAGGCGTTGGAGCAGCTGGAGTCTCTCCTTGCTCCCCCAGAACCCCCTCGCCTGGTCCCACTGCCTGCTCTTTGGGCCCCACGCGGGCCTGGGAAGCAGGGTCCCCTCCCTGGCACTCTGGGGGGCCTCCTGCCTGCAGCTCTGCCCGAGGGGAGGGGCCGGCAGCCTGGCGGGGCCTTGGCCGGGCTCACCTCGGACCACGTTGCCCGGGTACAAGCAGCGGGACTTCTGGCTCCAGTAGGCGCAGACCCTCGTGCCGGGCGGGAGGAACCGGCTGGACTGCGGCCGGACATCGAGAACCTGGGAGTACAGCCAGGGCCGGTGTTTGGGGCACTCGGGAGGTGCGGGGAGCAGCAGGCCCCTCCCGGCGGGTGTCCCTCACCGCCTCCTGCAGCAGCTGCTCCAGCGAGTAGATCCTCTGCCGGTTGCCTCTCTCGCCCTCGATGACGATGCTGTAGCTGAGGGAGGCGGGGGCGTTAGGCAGGCCTGCGGGGCACGGCCACCGTCAGGGCCACGGGGTCCCCCCTGCCCACACCCCAGCCTCACCTGT